TGCTGAACCAGGTCCAGGAGGCTCACGAAGATGATCAAGGGGCTGAAGCACCTCCCTTATGAGGACCAGCTGAGAGAGCTGAGGGTGTTCACCTGAAGAAGAGAAGGCTATGGAGAGACCTTATAGCAGCCTTCTAGCACTGAAAGGGAGCCTAGAGGAAAAATGGGGAGGGATTTGTTATCAGGAGGTAAAGGATAGGACAAATGGTAACGGATTTAAAGAGGGTAGGTTTACCTTACATGTTAGGAAGAAATTCTTTACTGTGAAGGTGTTGAGACATTGGAACAGGTTGCTCAGAGAAGTGTTCAAGGCCAGGCTGTATGGGGCCCTGTGCAACCTGGTGGAAGGTGTCCCTGCCCATGGCTGGGGGGTTTGGAACTAGATGACCTTTAAGGTCCCTTCCAACCCAACCCATTCGATGATTCTGTCACACAACTGGGTACAATCTCACATGATGAACCAAGCTGTAAAGACCACTACTGGAACTTATTGCCCAGATTCCAGAGAATAGGACTTTAACTGCCAGATATTTCCACAGGCTTACATAAGAAAATTACAAGCTCTATATCAAAGTTTGCAAGTAAAAGATAGTGTTAGTGTTTGTAGATCTCCTGGAAAAAAATCCAGCAGCACATAATATTCCACACTTAGAAGTTAATAACTGGAGAACCGACTAAGAGAAATGTTTGTATTTTTTGTATTTTTCAATAAAACATCCCATTTTAAACTTCTTACACAGATATTCTGGAAAGTAACACAAAAGAACAAGACATTCTTGTTCTTTTAAGATGTCAGAACTGTCAGGATAGCCAATGGGCAAATACCTGTAGCTCATAATTACTGACTCAATATTAAATTAACATTGCTCCTTTGAAAGAAGTAATCAATTACAAGAAAAAGCTCTAACCCCTCATGGAATTTTGGATGATTACAGTTTTCCTATCATAGTTTTCAGGAATCTAAGCAGGAAAGCATTTGCAGTAAAAGTTTCAACAGTTAGTGTGCCTATTAGATATTCTGTTGAGAAAACCGAAGTGACTGTGCCCTACAGCAGCAGTTACCCCAGAGCTACTGATGCGAAAGAGCACCCTTTTTAATACCTTCAAAGTCCTGCAGAATGTGACCTTCTTTAAAAGGCAGGGTTTGCTTCTGCTGCTGGTCCAGCATGCTGTGCACTGTGATGAACTCCTCGTCGAGAGCGACCACGTAGGGGAAGCACAGAGCTGCTCCAATCACGTTCTCCGACCAGTGCACGGGCGCGCGCTGCGAAATCCCATCCACCGTGGCAAACATGCCTGTAAGAGGGGCAAGGCAAAGCCTGAGGGGTGTGCTGTGTGGAGACAGCATGCTGGGATCCCAGTATGAGGCAGGGGTGCCAAGGTGGAGAAGCAAAAGTCTCAGGAGAACAGAGGCAGTATCAGGGAGTGTGACGACAGCGCCTCGCATCTCCCCGGACCTTTCAGACCTGTTGCTTGGTTCAGTTCACAGGTTTTTTTTCCTTCTCCTTCACCACAGAAACACCACTTTGCTACAGCAAAATTTCCTCAGAACAAGGGAGCAGCTCCTTGGAACGAGCTGCTTCCTGTGAGGCAGCTGTATTTTCAATCATCTGAAAAAATGCAGGGGCTGTGTATGAAGCTTATTTTCCCAAAAGTCAAGCACAGAGTGTAGACTTTTTTAATATCCCATTGCTACTTCCTATGCTGCCTTCAAAGTAACCATATTAAATCTCCAGTTAATTTGTGGTTTTCTTTAGCTTTCCTTCTGTCTATTCTGCCCTCCTTCCTTCTCCTAGCTTGACAGGTGTGACTGGCTTTTGGACCACGTGCCACTGCTGCTGCTTGTGCTAGCTACTTGGTATTCCCCAATTCCTCCCAGAACTTTAACTGAGGGAAAAAAACAGGGCAAGTTTTCAGACCTACTTCAGTAACCCTCTGCCAGCTGAGCCATACTGAAACATTATGTAAACTTAAGGAGTATGAATGTATACACCTTAAAAGCCAGTACTCTCATGCCATCAAAAAGACACACACCCATGAAAATTGCTCTTTGGCAGGAATGAGCCACTTGGCAGCTGGTAGAACTCTAAGTCGGAAACCTAAGGGACAGAGGAGATTAAAAGATTATGTTATTCAATTTACAAAATCCCTTCCAAACAGAGGCTAATGAGGCAAGGATAGCTGAGTAGGAGGACCACCATGGAATTAAAAAAAAAGGAAAACAGTAGGTTGTAGACTTTTATAGCACTGTGGTGTAGAGACACTAAGCTGCTGTGGATCCTTTAAAGCAGCTTTGACATGATCAGTCCTTTCCCTGGACTAAGAGTGCAACACAAAATTAAAGTTCCACATCTGACTATTGGCAGGTAATGCTATCTGCTTTTTCACTGTAACAATCATCTTTTCAAGCAGAGCACTGTACAGAAAGTGCTTTCATTTTCCCTGTAATATATAATTGCCCATTTACTCTATAGATCTTGATATTCTTGTGGATCACAAGTGGAATTTTATGCTGGGCATACTGCACTAGCAATTTTTAATGCCTTCCAGTTGTTACTCTGTGTTATAATCCCATTTCAAAAAGTGTGAAAAAAACTTGAGTTAAATATATACTAACCAGTAGTAAACTCAGGGCCAATGATATTTGAAGTATTAATTATTAGAAGTTTCTATTTCTATGTCATTCTCAAAAAATACTACAAAGATCTAATTTTAAAAACTTTTTTTTAAATTACAGAGCTTTTCCAGGTAATTAATAAAAGTCCTTTATGGAAGTGAAAGGGCATGCAGAGCAATGCACTGTACTTTTCCATGTCTCTCTACATCCCCCTGTCCTCAGCAGCTAGACTTTCTGTGGTAGAATGATGCATTTTCTGTCTCCATCCAGCTCTTACCTAAGGATAACAATAAAGATGACAACTACAATCACAAAACGTGGCCTTTTTATAGCACAGAAATGCATTTGATGAAACTGTGATGCAGCCAGTAATCAATTCTGTATTAAAAATGCATTTGCTGTGCAAAGGTTCCAAGTTACCAAAGGGCAGCTGCACTGTTTTCAGCACCAAGAAATCAAAAAAAATTATAGAATCATAATTTCAGTCAGAAGGGGTTTCTAAAGGACATTCAGTCCAGTCCCCAAGCAGTCAAATAGGGACCAGCTTACAGTACATCACTCAGGATTTTGTGCAATAGACTGTAGATTTTAAGTGTTTGTTTTAAAGCCAAAAGCTTCGTAGCTTTTAGTGATAGTAGCTGTAAAAATAGAAACAAAACTTCACTACTTGTTTAAAAAGGAATATGAAAAATTTCAGTTATCAGACAAGCTGACAGCACAAGGAACACTATGTGTGGGTGAAAACAAGAATGGAACATGCTGGTTGCTGTTGATCCCCCTGCTTCATGCAGTGCCACCAGCTATGAGAAGAGGCACTGCCTGACCTTCCACGAATGGTCCTGCTTAGTACCTCTGTGCTTGTCCCAAGTCCCACTCCTCCAATTCCATCTGTAGCCCACTCATTCATTATACGACTGTTCAAACCACTGAGAAGAGTTTATTCTAGAAAAGAAAAAGGAATAAACTAAAAAATAAGCATTTAAACATGGTGGGTTTTTTTTTTTATTCAAGTCTTGGAATAGTTGAAACAGAAGGGGACCTCTAGAGACTTTCTAGTCCAACTTCCCTGCTCAAAGCAAGGTCAAATAGAACAGGTTGCTCAAAACCTTCCACAATCATGTTTTGAGTATCTTCCAAGAACACAGACTCCATGTCCTCTCCAAGACCTGTTTCCTGGTCTGACCATCATTACAATGAGGAATTTATTTCACATTTATGCCTAATTTCCTGTACTTCAGTTTGCACTGCCTGCCTCTCATCCTTTCACTGGAGATGGTACCACTGAGCAGAGTCTGGCTCTGTCTCCTCTATGCTCCCACACATGTTTGTTGGTGAGATCTCTGCAGGCTGTCTCAGCCTCTCCACATGAGATGCTCTGATCAGCCATCTTCCTGGTCCTTCAGTGGGTTTACTCCAGGATGTCCATGTCATTCCAGGGAGCCCAGAACTGGGCCCAGCACTCCACACATGGTCTCATTAGGGATGAGGGGAAGAATTCCCTCTCAAGCTGCTGGCAACACTTTTCCCCATGTGGCCCAGTCGGACTTCTTTGCCACAAGGGCACATCATGAGCTCACAGATATCTGACCCAGGCCCCTCTCTGTAAAGCTGCTTTCCAGCTGGCTAGCCCCCAGCCTGTACTGGTGCGTGGGGATGTCCCTCCCTAGCTGCAGGACTTCATACCTCCCTTAGCTGAACTTCATGAGGGTCCCAGCAGCCCATTTCTCCAGCCTGTCAGTGTCCTTATAAATGGTAACACAACTCCCTGGTGCATCAGCCACATCTGCTACTTTTGCATCATCTGCAGATCTGCTGAACACCCACTCTGACCCACCATCCAGGTTGTTAATGAAAATGTTAGTACTGCCCTTGCCATCAGCCCCCTGGGGCACTAGTGACTGGCCTCCAGCTGGAATCTGTGCTCACAAAACTTTAAGCCACATTTTTAGTCCACCTCACTGTTTCTCTAGTGCATTCTTCACCTCTTTTTCTACAAGGATGTTATGTGAGATAGCATCAAAAGCCTTACTAAAGTTACAACATCGTTGCTCTTCTCTCAACCACCAATTTAGGCATCTAATCATACAAGATTACCAGGTTGGTCAGGCAATTTCCCTTTTGTAAATCATGTTGATTGCTTCAAATCATATTCTTGTCCTTCACATACTTGAAAACAGCTTCCAGGATTATCTACATTGCCTTTCTGGGGATTGAGGTAAGGCTGGCCTGCCTGTAGTTCCCTGTGTCCTCTCTCTTGCTCATCTAAGACAGGATGAAGACATTTGTTTTCTCCCAGTCCTGAGGAGCATCCCTTGATCACTGTGACCCTTGAAAGATAATCACAAGTGGCCTCACAATGACATCAACCACCATACCAAGTATTCACGGGTGCATCCCCATCAGGTCCCATGGATTTGTCTGTCCAGTTTATTTACATGCTCCATAACCTGATCCCCCTCTACTGAGGGCAGGCTTTTATTGCTCTAGGTTTTCCCACTGGTCCTAGGGGCTGAGGACTTTTAAAGGTAGCAACAACCAAGGTAAAAACGGCATTAAGCACCTCAGCCTTTTCCATGTTCTTTGGCACCAGGTTTCACACCCCATTCAGCAGTGGACATCCATTTTCCTTGGCCTCCCTTTGCTGCTGACATGCTTACAGAAGATCTTTTTGTTGCCTTTCATGGTACTCACCAGATTCAATGCCAGAGTTTGGCCTCCCTAATTCATCCCACATGCTTGGACAGTGTCTCTGACATTATACCTCTCAGGTCACCTGTCCCTGCTTTCACCTCATTTGCTTCCTTTTTGTATTTGAGTTTAGTCAAGAGCTGCTGGTTCATTAATGCAGGCCTCCTGACACCTTTAGTTGTTTTCCTGCTCATTGGGATGGATCATTCTTAAACCTGGAGGAGGCAGTCCTTCTTTCCAGGAACATATTCTGTGGGTTTCTTTTAAGCAGGTCCCCCCCAAAAAAAACAGTCTGACATCCTGAAGCCCAGGCCTGTGGTCTTTTTGCCCTGTTCCCATCTCAGGATCCTGAACTTCACCACTGTAGCAAGGCTCCACCCTTGACTTTCACATCCCTTACCAAATTCAACAGAGCACCTCCCCTCATCAGCTCCTCAGTCAGCACCTCCTTTGTCCCATGGCACACCACCACATCTTCCTGCTGCTCTCATGTAAAGGGTGACCCCTCACCTCAGCTGTTAACAGAGAGCCATGCTGATTTCACAGAAAACCAGAGACAGCTTCCTCCATCACATTGTTTTGTGCAGAATTCTTTGTGTGCATGTGCCTGAAGCAGGACCTCTCCTGTCCTGTCTGTTGATTACAAAGTCTCTCACCCACATCACCAACTCAGCCTACCACCACCATTTCTAGTTTAAATCCTCCTCACTAGGATGAGTGAGTCCTGAGAGTGAGTCTGCTGGCAAAAATGCTTTAGCCTCACTTGCCCTGATGGATTCCAACTCTTCCTTAAATAGGGATCCACAGTCATAAAAGCCAAACCCCTTGTCACAGTAAGCTGTGCACCCAGTTGGTGACCTTTATGATCCACCCACTCCTCAGGCTGTTCTTCCTCACCAGCAGGAACGAAGAGAAAACCTCCATCTCCAGTATGAGAAGTTTCCCACTCCTATTACTCACTAATTCCTCCTGGTGCTGCTGTACTGTACATGCTCAGATGATTTGTTGGACAGAGCTTCCTGCTTCTCACCTGCTCCTGTTGAGCACTGAATGTGTTCTATAGATGCAGGTCTGCAGGCAGAGGAGACGAGTCACAAGTCTCCAGCTTTTACTATCACAGAACAAGCAGAGACTCAGCTTGCCCTCCCCTCAGTCCAGCTGGGGTTCAGGCTCATGCCAGGCTCGTGGAGAAGATTCAATTTCCTTTCTGCCATCTGTGATGCTGTGCACTCTGCTGACCTCCTCCTGCATCTCCTTTACTTGGCAACAGAAATCCTCAGCCAGGCACAACACTCCTGTAGGCAAGGACAAAATTTCCCCCAGCACGAGGCACCAGGAGCTCCCTTCAGCCCCAGACCTGAAGAGCTGCACCCTCCCTTGGGGCCTGCTCCAAGTCAAGGCCTCTAATGTTTTGGGCCAGTTACTCCAGCTGCTGCTAGGCAGCACACCCTGTGCCAACAAGCAAGAACATATGCTGAAAATTTTAAAACTTTAAAGCCTCTATATGGCAGGAAGTGTGGTTAGAAACATGCAACAAGAGCTTCAAGAAATGAAAAAACAAGTTTTGAGTTGCCTAGTTTCACAGATCAACAGAAAGACTTGATTTTCAATTCTGAATGAACTAATCACTGGACAGAATGAAGATGCATCAAAAATCAAATTCCTCCTCCTTTTGAAAGAACCTCCAGCACACTACCTGCAAGTGGAGCCAACAAAGTGCCAAATGGCCAAGTCTGTGGATCAACTACAAGTGATCAACAACCACCTTTAAATACCATGAGCCCAGGTAAGGAAAAAGCACACAGCCAAGAAACAGAGATGTTTTACTTTATGATTACCATTTTAAGCAGTTGCTTTCTGCCATTTTAAACTCCAGTCTTAACTCAAAAGCAAATTAATCTAAATAAAGGTCACTTCTAACATTATAAAGCCCAATATATTAATGCAGAATACATCCACTTCAGTAAAAGAGGTTTGAATTTAGCACAGATGCTCTACCAAGTGCCAAACGAACATGTCTTAGCCAGCAAGACACACAAAAGCTAGCCAAAATTCAAATGAAAGATTTCCATCAAGCCTTTTCAAGTCCACTCACTTTACAGCAGAGGCTGACCTCAAATGCCAAGATATACAATATCTGATGTACAATATATCATGAAGGTGCTCAACCACTCTCACAACTTCAGAGACAAGTGTCAAAGACTCTAAAAATTTTACCAAGGAAGAACAGTGAGATGGACAATACTAGTCAAAACAACAGCAAGAAGTGAATAGAGAACAGATAATTAAGGGAAAAAAATGCCAAGATATACAATATCTGATGTACAATATATCATGAAGGTGCTCAACCACTCTCACAACTTCAAAGAGACAAGTGTCAAAGACTCTAAATTTACCAAGGAAGAACAGCAAGATGGACAATACTAGTTAAAACAACAGCAAGAAGTGACTAGAGAACAGATAATTAAGGAAAAAAAAAGCTGAATAAGGCAAGGAAAAATTGTAGACTCCAATTGTAGACTCCAAAAAAAGTGGGCAACCAAGAGGACTTAGAAAAGCCCTATGTCTGAAAAAAGCCAAGTTCATCTTGCAACACCTTTAATTTGCATAAAGTGATATTCTAATGAGTCTCTACTTTCAAGAAAAACTGGTAAGCTGACATACCTATAAACAAGCGATTGCACCCTTGCTTTTCTTTGGAATTCATATTCAAAAGCCAAATCTCATGCAGATCCCTGAATTAAGGACTTCAATCGTTGTGATCTTTCTGTCGTGCTACTCCTAACATGTCAGGGAAGCAACATAAACTGCACCTCCAAAATGGAGAGTCATATGGCAAACAGCATGAAAGCATTCTGCCTGCAGTCTGTCAGCTCAACAAAAAAATAAAAAGGGGGGAAAAAAAAGGCTCAAGATTACTGACCTCACAGCAGTTTATTGATTTAGACAGATTACAGCAGCAGGAGTCCTTACAATTATCTGTCTATTAGATAAGAGCATTATTGCACATGATCTAACTTGGATTTTCAATACTTGAACTACCATTTTCTGTAGCATGGAACTGAAAATACTATTTTGAAAAAGGCAAATGGGAGCATAAGAACTGAATAGTGTCTGACAACATGTACAGGTAGGACAGAGTTCACTTCTACCTGAGTTAGGATACAGTTGACTTACACTAACACTTCTTATTAGTACTGTAGTACAGCATAGCTATTTGTGAATCTGTTACAATTTATAAAAGACTTTGTATAAACTTCCTCTGAAGAGCAACTAAGGAAAGTAAATTTACTCATCCACAGTAACATGGGGTTCCTCCAACCCAGCTCAGCTCCTCACTGCAGGAAGGCTACCAGGCTCTGGAACCCATTCTTTTACTCTGGGCTGCAAGACACTACCACTGTGGGCTGACAATAGAGAAATTAAGCTTTCCACAGACACAATTAAAATACAAATATTGAAAATTTTGTGCATTAAAAAAAAAGCAGGACAGTTCTAATAATACTTTAAAAGACAGATGGTGAGTTTTTGGTTCTAGCTCAACATTCCATGTCAGCCCTGTGGGAAATAAAAGATCATTATTGCGCACGAGACTTCATCAGTTAAGATTTGCTTCCCAAATTGAGAGAGAGAGAAGTTAAAAAAAAAACTGCAAAAGAGTTACAACATTTAGTCTCACCTAGGCCTCCAGGGCCAGCCAACAGAAACTCCTGTCTGCCTATCCTTTTCACAATGGGCCTCTTCTCGTCGCTGCAGTAAGGGAAGAGATCCTGGGAGACGCCGGTGTTGTAATTCAGGATGATGTACTGGGTGGTGAGCGCCAGGCACAGGTAGTAGCCATCCACGGCCAGGGCGCAGGGCTGCTCGGGGGTGAAGACCTCCTTGAGGATCTGGACCCTGTCCTCGAACACCAGGAACACCTGGACGGTGCGGCGCTTGGCCGAGATGATGCAGAGCTCCACGCAGAAGGGGTCCCCGCCCACCGGGTTCTCGTTCAGCGCGAACGCCACCGCCCCCTTGATGCGAGCGCCCGTGGGCACGGGCTCCAGGTTCAGCATGTTGACCAGGGTGATGGTGTTGTCACAGAGCACCAGCAGCCTGGCGAGGGCAGAGGCTGCCTTCAGCTCGCTCACAGGCTTCTTCAAGCCCAGGTACTTACACAGCTGCTTGGTGGCGGCAAAAGTCGTCTTCCCGGCTGTCGACACCTTCTCGTCCAGCAGGAAGTGGAAGATGAAGCAGTCATTGGTCCCAACGTAGAGGTTCTTGCCACAGCACTCGAGGCATTCGATGTTGATGTAGTTTTTGTCTCCCATTAACATCTCCCGTTCAACAACAGAAACGAGCTTGAAAGCTTTAACGCTCATCGTGTCTTCCGGGGGATCTGATGAAGGAGGAAGAGGAAACACTGTTTGCCTCCACACACAAGCAAATGAGGTAGCCATTTATCATCCATCAACACAAAAACTTCACTGCTGCATTTTTGAGCAGTCTGTACTCTATTTCCAATCTGATGGCACAAGCCAGGCTGAGCACACTAACAACCACTGAGATGAACTGCACTGTGTGCTGCCACTTCAAGTCTGACCTGAGGCAGACTCAGTTCAGCATGTGGGTACTCTGAAGTGATGCTTTCTCCACAAATAACCAGCACTCTGGCACTACAAGTGGTTTCTGCTAGTACCTGTCATCTAAAGGTTTCTTTCACCTGCACATCAACAGGTACAAGCTTTGGCTCCCAGATTTCTAGAGAAGCCAGAAGGCATTTAGGGCTACACGTGGCTTTACACTCAGTTTGGGTCTATCAGCACACAGTCTCTTAGAGAACCATCACAGGCATGTTCCACCTCAGCACATGCTCCACATTCCTCACACTCCAGCCATCAGAAACCTGGAACTTCCAAGCCACTTAAATAATAAGCTATGCAAAATATCATCAACTCATAATACAAGATATTGTATTAAGGGGTTTTCTTTAGTATCTGCAGAGTGCCTGTTTTATTCAGTGCCGTTTCCACATTCCTTGTATCAGGCTCATGCACAAAGCATTCACACAGCAAATCTGGAAGAAGAGTCCAGGAAGCTCAAGATGCAACACCACAGAATTTAAAAGTTTCTGTTCTCTACTACCACAACCATTCCAAAAGTTTGTCTTCAAATGCTAAGCAGGACTTCCAACCCTCATTCTAAGAGCTACAGGTACACTTCTGCAACCAAGAACTGTCAAGGGACAGATGCAACTTATGAAGCAATTATTAGTGTCTTACAAACAGTCTGTGTAATTTTACTGTACTCCAGACATGTCATTTCTATAAGAACCCAGCAGACAGTTGTGCTCAACACTGCAAAGAGCAGATGAGAAATTGCTGACCTTGTTTAATCCCCTCTTAATTTGTCATGACTGGTCTGTTATGACAACACAGGAGAAGACAGGAGACTGAACAACTTGAATAGATTTAAGAAATAACACAAAGTTATTTCTAGCCCACGTGCACAACTGACAGCTAAAACACCAAATGAAATTTCTGTGGACCAACAGAGACCAACATCAACAGGATGCTCTTGTGAACAACCCTGAATATAGTCAAAATGAACTGAGATCCAAATTATTACATTTCAAAAAACCCCTCACTTTTGCAACAGCACACTGAAAAACATGGCAAAAATTTCCAAAAGTGAGAGGCACACAACTCACAAGTAACCACTAAAGAAAATGAGATCAAACTAAGAATATATGCAGAAGTAAATCATGATACAATGAGATAGTACTGATCTTTTTTTACTTCCTTTTTTTTTTCTCCCCTCAGAAGTTGAAAAGAGTTTAGTTTGGGCTTTCATGACACGTTTAAATTGCACCCTCACCAGGGGTGTAAATCTGACCTTCAACAAAAACCATCCAAACCCAGGAAGTACCTCTTAAGTCTAAGGTAAAATGATAACTCAAGTCTCTGGCAACACTTCCACCTTATCTTCCAACGTTATCAAAAGAAACACAGGGTACTAAGTTAAAGAGGGCTGACCAAAGGTTGGCTGCCAAAAAAAACCCCAACCATTTTTAAGAGCCTGAAGTGAGAAACTACCACCTGGAGAAGTTAGGCAACTTTTGTACCTGAAGCTGTCCACAATTTAATGTCCCTGTAGTCCAACACAAAAATGTTAATGGATGCCACTGGGAGAACTACATAATTTTGCTCTTGACCAAGATGCATTAAAAACCTTTGAAAAACGTACTAAATGAAAGGAGCAGAAAAGGTATAAAAGAAATCAAAATAGACACACAAACCCTGAGCAAACAACAAAAAAATGACACTACATGAATGTGTTAGTAGGGAAATTAATTAATGCTAGAAAAAAAGCTGTGAAAAAAACTTTTAACCACCGATGTCAACAGACATATAAATGGCAGATGATTTTTAAAAACATTTATTTTGCTCTCATGTAGAAGAGCTCAGGGGTCTGTGCACGCTGCAAGGAAACAGGTTCTTCAGAACACGCTGCTCCTGTAAAGTGCAAGAGGCCACTGCGGTTACAAATTTAAGTCTGCATGCTACTTTTTGGATACTCAGAACTCCGGAAGACAACAGGGATACTTGCTGTCAAACACCAATCAGTAGGCAAGCAAACCACCAGCCTACGAAACCTGACTTTAAGAGCTCTGAGAACACGGCACGCACTTCTCTCCGGTAAAGCGCGAAAGCCGCTCTCCCCCACTTTTGTTCAGTACAACCGCCCTGCGTTTCCGCTTGGCTTGCTGCAGCCCCGCCAAAC